GTTGGGTGCGGGGCTAGCAACTCCACCCCATAAAAACCAACCTGCTACAAGTAACTGCAACAACACCTTCCGTTGGCGAGGTGTTGTTGCGGCCCTATGCTCCACTGGGAGTATGTTTGTTAACAAAAATACAAACAAATTAAAGAAAAGGGAAAGACATTGATATCAAACAAATATGCATCCTCATTCATCCCAATTTTTTTTGTGTGTGAAAGCTATGTCTTTTAGTCTGAAAACTATGTGTTGTGGTCTTTCTTTTACACATTGCATTAGGACGTTTTGTGAAAAGTCTGTACGTGATGGAGAAAAATGGATATCATTTTCGTATTCAGTGTACAGGAACGACAGTAGAACATGTAAAAATTTCAAGACAATAAAGCCATCGCAGGCTTGCGTTTTCAGCCAAACACAAAATATCACTAATGGGAGACTGTCTAAACAGATTTTTGCCTTTCTCACCATCAATAATGGTTAATTAGTCAAACTATATATCATCATTAGATATATTTCAATACCTAAATATTACTATACTGTGAAGAGAAGTAATTTTGCTTCTGCAGGAAATTCCTACGTTTTTCATTCTCTAACAATAGAAGGTATCAGTTAATCATTACGTAAACATATCTGTTTATACAATATCTATATTTATACAATGTATATATATATATCATTCAATTTTTATTTTTTTATCTTATTAAAAGCTATGCTTTGTTTGCAAACATTTTAGGTTTTCTTGGTACCTAAGACATAGTTCCCAACACATACTAACTAGTTTCTATACGTATTTGCACTACTCATAAAGTTAAGTTCCGACAAAAGTTTAAAACAAAATCAGTTTCAAGGGAATAAATACATGAAATGAGAAACTGAGTTTAAACATGGTCATGGATAAGAGTTAGTATCTAAATAAGTATTTTACTTTAACACTTTTTCAAATAATTACAGAGATTTTACCTTAAGAGAATAAAAGTTTGGTACAATCTTTCCTGTATTATGTGTGAAAGATGCTCAAAAAATATTTAATAGTACATATACATATTGGAGAATCAGGTAAACAACTTTAGTTAAAATAATGTTTATGCTTTAATTTCATGTGAATCAATTCTAAATGACCAAGATAGAGGAAAGGAATGAAACGAAAAAGAGTTATCTAGTTGCGAAAAACTTTC